ATGCAGGAAAGCAGGCGGCTTGAACTCCTGCTTGGATTCTGTGAAGAGATAAAGCCTTTCAGGGAATCTGGAAGAAGCTGTTAAGACACGCACACCCTTTGCTTTGGTGGTCCTACCTTTAGAAACCAAGCCTTCTGAAGTAAAAATATCACAACTGATTGCAAACCTAAAACAAAACAAAGGCCTGCATACAACCCCGATGTTCTTTAACAGAGGCAGAGACACATATACTCAAGTCATGCACTGCATAACGACATTTTGATCAATGACAAGCCATTTATACCACCGTGGCCCCATAGGATCACCACGGAGCTGATAAATCACTATTGCCCAGTGATGATGCAGCCACAGCAATGTCGCTGTGCAACTTATTTTTTTATGAATTTAGTACGGCCCAGGTGTGTGGTGTCCATGATCTACAGTGCATGCAGTAACGTCCTAGACTTTCACACTCACTCACTGACTCACCAGAGCACCTTCCAGTCCTGCAAGCTGCATTCATGGTAAGTGCCTTAGACAGGTGTGTTTTTTATCTTTTATACTGTATTTTTAGTGTACCTTTTCTATGTTCAGATACGCATATTTACCATGTGTTAGAATTGCCTATAGTAATCAATACAGTCACATGGTACACAGGTGTGTAGCCTGGGTGGGTACTAGGCTGTACCATCCAGGCTTGTGTGAGCACATTCTAATGTCCCCACCAGGACAAAATCACCTAACAACACGTTTCTCAGAATGTATCCCTGTCGCTAAGTGATGTGGGACCGTACTGGCATTTCCGTGCTGTGGGATATGACACTTATTTGAAAACTAGAGCTATGTGTAATGATCTAAAATGAAACCCATGTCATAGCAAGTGAATAAAACTGCAGAATAACAAACAAGGATACTTCAAAAAGTTCATGGAAAAATAGAATGAAAAGATAATATGAATCTTTCCATGCACTAGGATGGACCACAGAAAGCTGAGGGGCAGCCTCAGTGGGGTGAAACGTGCAGTTTTCAAGCCGCCTGCTGGGATCTATGCCCAGTAAATGCCAACTGATGACGCCCAATGCACTGTGCCAGCCCCTGGGCATGCTTGCCAAGACGCTTTTCTAAGAATGAAACTGGCGACCAGAAAAATGCCCATGCTAGGCCACTCTACCAAATTTACAAGGACAATCATTTGTCTCCCCTCCCCATATCCTTTCCCTTTATTTCCCAGGAAAGTGCTGTTCCCCAGAAGCCAGCAGGCAAGCCACCTTCCTTGCTCTGAGCCAAACTGCTCCCTCCCTCCCTCCCTCAGGGCACATTCAGCATCTGAGAGTCCAGGAGGGATGTGAACACATGTGGCCTGGGAAAGTCCAAGTGTGGTGGGCATTCCTTGGCCAAGAGCCCCTGCTGCCAGAAGCCTGGGCAGGACACCCCTAAGAAGGGGGCTTTGAGGAGTTCCCCCATGGCTTCTTATATTGTACCCACTGCAAGCTAAAGCTCTCAGTGGCTTTTTTTTTTAATGACTCTCAACTTGTCTTCTAATAAGAATATGTGTGTCTGTTCTCTGGAGCTTTTGACAGCCCAGAGCTGGCCCCATGTCTTGGGTGGGATTGATTGCTCCGTCTTACCAGGAAGCCAGGTGCATCTTTTACTAAAGGTGGTTTTCAAGTGATGAATGGCTTTCTTATGAACATGAAATTGTTGATTGTATTTACAAACAATTCATTTTTCACGTTCTGTTGATTCTGCTCCAGCATCCCTCGGTGACACCTGCACAGATGATGCATCGGCAGCTATTACCACCATTGATTAAGGCCTCCTTGCCGTCCGGTGCTACCTGTCACTCCATTCATCACAGACAAGCACCGTGCACACAGCAGTACATCACATTCTCTTCATGCTTTACAGTTACTTATTCTTCAATTTGTGTTATTTTGTGTACCCTCCAAATACAGGTGCATACCAAAGCTCCAAACTCTTAATATGCCACAACAGTGGACAAATAAATGGCTAATTAAATTCTTTGGCTTTAGCCAATCCTGTGTCTCCAAAGCCTACCTCCTCTGCTTCCCATTTTGAAAAAATGCAAACATAAATAAACAGCATCAGCAATGTCGTCTAAGCTGAAGTAAGTGCCACCACTGTGCAGCAAGTCATCCTACATTAGGGTTGTACCCAAAGACCCCTAACCCAGATTCTTCAGCACCCATTGGGGAAGCGGCAGTCACCAAAGTGGACCGAGACAGGCCAGGCAGGAACTTTCTGGACTCAGCTGCTTTTTCCAGATTTCTCTGTCGAGACCACATCCTCCCAGTTGCATTTCTGGTTGACCAGTGGCACTCCCTGAGGTTGATCCAGTTCAGGAGACAGGCTGGTGTGACTGGAAGGATCAGGATGCTGCTAGGAGTCTTGACTCCAATCTCACACCACATGGCCATCAGATCTGGGGCAAGTCAGCAAGCCTCTCCAGACCTCCAGATCTTCATCTGGGACATGTGGAGGATCAGAAAAAACATTCTTAATTGCAAGGACTCTTATTCATTTGTGACCTATCTCCAAAGATTCAGTACCAGATAGAGGTGACTCTGGTGTCACTACTGAATACCTTGTTGCCACACATTTTTTTTTTTTTTAAAGATGACTGGTAAGGGAATCTTAACCCTTGACTTGGTGTTGTCAGCACCACGCTCAGCCAGTGAGCGAACCGGCCATCCCTATATAGGGATCCGAACCTGTGGCCTTGGTGTTATCAGCACCGCACTCTCCCGAGTGAGCCACGGGCCGGCCCTTGCCACACATTTTTGGATACAATTTATAAAATATTTTTTGACACCCATCCAGGCAGTCAACTAACAAGGATTTTACCCCAAACTTGAGACCACCTAGACATAGCTACCCTCGAAAATATGTATCACCAGGAAATATGTACCATTTATTTACCAAGCAAAAGAGGGGGCATTATTCAGTGGAACCAAAGCCTCCATCTCTCTGAAAACCTGTTTCTATTTTCCACGTATGACTAATTTTTAATCTCAGTGACTGAGCGGTAATGCTGTTGTCACTGATGCTGACAATGGGTTTTTTAAGAAGCATATGATATATGTTGCCTTCATGGTATCCCTTTTTGGCTATTGTTCTTGTGGCATTCTGAATAAAATGAGTTCAGCCTCCGCATGGCTCTAACTAATACAGGCACAATTGTAGATTAGGTGCCATCTTTATGCAAATGCTCTGCAGAGTAGGAGGCTGGCGGGGTGAGGCTTTCTACATGACAGGCGGCTTTGTATGGCCATTATTCAACAAAACAGGAAAACAGCTATTTGCCTAACGTCCATTTGTTAACAAGGCAGGAAAATGACATTTTTAATAACCTCAAACAAAGGCACTAAAACTTATAAAAAAGCCAAATTGTAAACTAAGAGAACGTGTTTGTAACCGCCTCCTGTTTTCCTGAGTATGTTTTAGGGTCAGAAGACATCGCCGCCCACCCAGTCATGCAAACTGGGACCCTGGACACCACCCTCAACTTCCCTTCTTACTTCCACAACATGCTAGCTGTCAGGCACCTCCTACACCTCTGTTGGCCCGTGGTTTGGGCTCCTGCTGTCTCCCCCCCGACAGAGCAAGGCTTCTTGCAGGCCTTCCTGCCCACTGATGCCAAGTCACCCCTCTCAAACGCAAATGGGAGCATGTCGTGATGATGCTCCTGAGTGCCTGCACCGTCACGTGCACACCTGCCTGGCCCTGCCCAAGCCCAGCACGGGCGCACGCGCACTCTGTGGGCTGATGCTCTCCGTGCGCTCCAGTGCCTGCCGCGGGCACCTGCGACTGCTGCCGGAGGGCTTCGCTCAGTGCCGAGGGGTGCTGGGCTGTGCCCGGGGCCTGCTGGAGGTGCCGGGGTGGTGGCTAACGACCCGCAGGAGGGGGTGGATGGAGACCAGAGCACTCACTGCGGAAGTGTGTTCTGTGCTGTCCCCGAGGGGGTCGAGCCCAGGTGCCAGCACCAACCTGCTCTTCCCCGTGCCCGAAACTGGCTTCCCCGCTTGCTTCCTGCCCTCCCCAATAAAACAGGTGCACGAAGGTTCTGCCTCTACGCAAGGCCAGCCGCGTCCGCCCCCTCGCTCCGCCCTCGCCGGGCCGCGTCCTCTCCGCTCCCCCTCGGCAGGTCCTCCGCCCGC